TGCTATGTGGTTTCTGACACTTCTGGAAGAAGTGTTTGTGACTAAAAAAATAGTGCTGAAACTTGTAGAATTGCTATACAAATGCCGAAGTGCAATTTTGCTGAGTGAAGTGAGATCAAGGGCAGTGCTATTTTGTATGTTGTTCAACTCAGGTTGAATGTGCATAGTGATTATAAGGTTATAAGGTCCCGCATTGGTTGGATGCTGGTTATTATGGTGAAGGAATTATGAGATCCGAGGTTAACGACTTTTTGTTGTAAAATGTGTGCATATGGGGATGGTATACCATGTTGTAAGCGACAATGGTCATTCTTATGTAAAACAGTAAAAAATTCGAAGGCTAATATTGAAGAATCTCAAACTTTCCTTTGACATTTCCATTGGCAGGCAAGTAAAGCAGTCCTGACTTTTTGTCATTCCATTGTCAACCTGTAGTGCACAAGCAAGGTCATAATTTAGAAGCAGCGTTCTTATGCCTCAAAGGTTACCAGGTTTTCTGTGCATCTAAGGATTTTTGGAAGAATGTCTGAAATCAACCCTCCTTTCTGAAGTGACAATTAATTTGTAGTGCATAAGCAAGTTTCTACTTGCTCTTTCCTGGAAAAATCATCATTCACCTACTATGAGGCTGGATTTTTCATGAGTCGAGAGTTTGAAATTCAGTTGTCTCAAATCTAGTTGATCTCCAAATGAAATGTTCTAGTTCGGGTAATTATTTCAACTTACTTCTCTTGTTTTGATTTTACCGTTAGAAAGGCAGATATTAGCCTCTTAATAATACAAGCGAAACCGATTCTATGATTTTCATATTTTGAATTAACTTTTTACAAGTGATTTTCTAATATACGAAATAAATATGTAATTTTTTAGTATACAAAGTAAATATATAAGAAGAACTTTGTGGAAAGCACTTTTTTCAAGCAATTATAGGAAGTTGCCCGTATAGAAATTTTCATAGCACTATTCCGTAAGGCTGTTGTCTACAATCTGTGCTTCCCTTTAAAGTTTTCTATATTTGATTTAGTTGTCATTAATTAATAATTATTTGGTGTCAAGAATGTACTATGTAAATTTATACATTATAATTTTATATACACAGAAATTTAATAATTTAATTAGATTTTGATGTTTAGAATCTTATTGATACTTTTCCCTTCTAATTCTTTCCATTTCATCTCCCATTTTTGAAAAACGCAACGTTGGTTGTTTTTAAGGAAAGGACTTGAAAGAAACGAAAAGGACTTTTGCTCGTTCAATGGTGGCGACCAAGTTAGACCAGTTTCCTCATCTATCTCCAGCCACCAAAACAAGTTTTCGATTAATTATGATAACATTTTAACTCGACTCGCCACCCTCAGGAAACCCACTAATTTTAATTGACAGAAAAAATCTACGCCCCTTCAATTAGTGGCCGGACGAGTTTCTATATTTGATGAATAGCGAGAGAAATATTGGCTTAGTAGGTTTCAACCTTCCATTAATTCAAGCCAACCAAAAAAGGAAGAAGAAGAAGAAGGCAGAGTTGAAAGAGTTATGGAAAAAATTCTCTTGTGCTTTGAATCAGTAATCCTCAATTATCCCGACTGTGCAAATAATTCGGCCAGTTTAACAAGTGCATCTTTCTCTTATCCCAATTACCTCGTCGCTTTAGCAAAGAAGATATTCTCATCCGGGCAGGAAATTTTAATGGATGCAGGATGCTGATTGCTCCGTGAAAAGGGGTTATAGATAAAGAGACTTGCAGAGGAGGCAAGATTAATGAGGGTATTTCAGATATTTTACCAAGATTTTATATTTGTAATATGGAATCGGGTCCTCATGATAATTTTATTTATTCAGATGACCTCTGTGTAATTTTGATAATTCAGGGGTCTTTATTTGTGATTTTTCTTATTAACAAGCTGCTTAAGGAAGGTGATGGCTTGGTGATTTTTCCTGAAGGAACCGCTTGCTGAGAATCATTTCTGTTAAGGTTCGGTGCTCTTTTCGCAGAATTAACTGAGAGGATTGTTCCTGTGGCTATCAACACGAAGAAGACTGTGTTTAATGGGACCACAGTTCGTGGCCATAAGATTTTGGACCCTTACTTTGTGTTCATGAACAATATTCCCACATTTGAGATCACTTTTGTGGACCAGCTTCCAGTTGAGCTCACATGTAAGGGAGGGAAGTCCACTTTTGAAGTTGCGAGTTACATTCCGACAGTTCTTGCGGGGACGCTTCGGTTTGAGAGGACGAATCTGACAAGGAAAGATAAGTACAGCATGCTTGCTGGAACAGATGGGAGGATTGCATTAAAGAAGGAGAAGGATGGAGAGAATATATAGTAAATATAATTTTTTCCTCAAATATATCTCTATATATAAATGGGTAAATGTGAAAGAGTAATAATAAAATAAATAAAAAAAGAATATATTAAACACGTCAAATTATAGATAAAATAGATAATAATACATTAAATGCTTAAATAAACTCAAAGAGGATCTTATAAAAAAGAATAGACCTATTTAAAAAAATTAGATCTTATAATAAAGAACGAAGGAGTACACACAGCAATAAGGCAATAAACAGACTCATATTTCTGATAAAGTAATCAATAATCTACATGATTGTGCTTTAATTTTTTCGTTGTTGAGATATGAATCAATGCCAGTTGTATATTCTCTGTCGGGTGCATGCTGGACTAGTCAGTCCCGAAATCTTCTAAGCCTTCATGGCTTGAAGATTTTAAAAGGGTAGTTTTAGGCTTCTACAGGGTACTATGTCCAGTTGGAGTGGGCAAAACTAAAGAAGGCCTTCAGTTATAACATTAGAGTGTGGCCTAACTTCTTGATGATGTCGTATCTTAGAAGTTACAAGCGGCCTCAAAAACTCGATTGATTTTCTCTTTGATTGTATTCTTTGGGCCAAACCCCAAGGATCCATTAATTACCAAAAAAAACCAACACAATAAGGCCTAAACTGTAATGTTACTCATATATTAATGGGTTTTTTTTTAACGGGCAAGAGCACAGGCTGTCTCTTCGGGGTCGGCCCATGTGATTCCCTTACCACTGCATAATCTATCATTACAGCCCAATGAACAAGACAATTTGAAGAAGAAATTAGCGGATTGTCTAGGTTTTCCTTTTGGTACCAGAGGACAGAGCTTTGCCGTTCCTTCCTCGGTTTTTCTCCAGGTACGATCTCGTTATGGTCGCCACGATTCTCTGGGAGGGGGCGTTTAATTAGGGCTAGCAGGTCTCTTTGATGATTTATTTTTGTTTGGCCTGTAAATGGAAATCTTAGTACACTCTCTGCTATGCTATACTCTGCTTTTTGGAATTCCTCGGGAATCAAACACTTCTGATCTAAGCTCTTTCTTCTACATCGGCACACGCGGGTCCCGATCTATTGTATTTTTAATCCGTTCTACCCAATTTATTATTACAACCCAACGAACAAGACAAAGAAAGCCATGCACTGTGCACACGGCAAAGCAAATGATACATTGTACTCGCGAATCATATTTATATTTACATAATTTGAAGTTTTTCTAGCCAATTAAAATTTTGAACAGGAATTTTTTACTATTTTCCCTTAAAACTAAGTTCATCTAATTGAAATTACAGAATTTAAAGAAAATACATACCCTCTGCTTACATGGATTTTGCATATGATATTGTACAGCATGTTAAGATAGTAGTCTTTAAGTTATGTTACGATAGTAGTCTTAAGTTCCAAGCATTTGCTTAAAGATTCAGATTTTTCAAAGGACACATTCTACCTTTTTTTTTTTGGAAAAAAAAAAAATTAATTCCCAAAACTGCTTCATCACGAACGTATCTAACCCAGTCAAAGTGGCTTGGGAAGCAAGTATTACTTTTACATCTCCAATGTTCTGTATATTAATTACTTAAAGAAGTCACCATTGCCTTGTTAAAAATATGTGCTGGTGCTAATCTCTAACATGCTTAAATTAATGTTATAATTTTATTTACTTGCACGTAATATTATTCTACCTCCGCTCCTATTTTTGCCATTTTTTAATTCTCTGCTCTTTCTTTTTCTGTTTTTTTTTTGGTTGATAACTTTAGGCCGTTTCTGATACGTGGAAAAGAACAGAATGAGCGATCTTATGAATTTGGAATATGTGGGAAGTCTGTTACTCATTGGTGGCCTGGTTTGCTTTGGTCTGAGCTCCACCTACAGAAGGTCATTTGGAAGGTGGGGTATTGGCGGTCTCATTGCTTTTGCTTATCTGTTCGGCGGTGCAACTCTGTGGTGCCTTGTCTTTTGGGTCAAGAGCATCTGGGTTCCGGACCGTCACCGATTTGGTGTGTTAGTTGCAATTTTCATTGTGACGTGTGCGATCTCCGTCCTGCTTGACACACTTGTAGCTGGAAAATCAGATGCACTGAGCATCATCGCGTATGGTATTCGCCTTGATGTCGCTGTCCGTGTCAAGGATGTCTGAGCTTGGATTCAAGACAGGGTTCTCCACTTTTTTCCTGTCATTGTTTGTCGAAGAACTTCTCAAAATCAGCTGGTTCTTCTTAGTACCGATAGCATTAGTTTTGAGCTTGTTCATCTTTATCCTCTGCTGCAACAACTCAGAATCCGGAGCGCAGGTGAGTTCCATCCTCTCATCACGGTGAATTGTTGACGATGGAAACACCAATGTGGATGTCTTGATTGAGTTTTGCAGCAAAATATTCAAGCAATTGAGCCTGTTACTTGCATTTATTTTATGCTTGTGGATTGTGTCTTTTGCAGCGCCCAGATTCCCGAATGACGGAAGAAGGTTTAGCGCAAAGCCGGTCATCCACGACCATTCAGCAAAATCATAACCAAGAGCAGCCTTCTCAAGCTGTAAGTGATCACCAAAGCGGAAGATAAATATTCAATATTTGGATATAATGCTCTATTCTCCTATTAAATGACTCCACTTATTTTCGCTTTCATACTGATGCATCATTCTCTTATTTTGGACCATCAGCAAAACAACGAAGATGAGGAAAACCGTCCGCTTCTTCTAGACGTAAGTGACAAATCCAATATAAATATTCACATAAATATTTATTTTATTGATATACTTCTCTAGTCACCCATGCATAGAGCTGGTAATACGGGCTCGGCTCACGGGCCCAGCCCGCCAAAAATGGCGGGCTTGGATTGGCAAAATGCCAGCCCGCCAAGGTGCGGGCTACTCCAGCCCGCACCGCTTTCAACCCGCTCCGCCGCGGGCTAGCCCACCGATTGGCGGGCTAGCTCGCTTTTTTTTTTTTTTTTTTTAAATTTTAATTTTTATATAATTTCTAATATGTTATACAATATAATTGAAGGATTTTAACTCCCAAATTTCATATTTACATCTTCTCATCCATGTAATTGCATATATAATACATACATAAAAGATCTACTTAATTAATTTGGATAAGAAAAATAGTCAAATTAATTATTTAGAAAAAATATGTGTTAGTTTTTCTAAAATATCTTCTCAAATTATAAATTAATCCTCACATTATTTTATTATAACTCATTACTCAAGTTTAAAACTCCAAGTCCAATTTTAACATTACAAACTAAGCCCAAACTTATACAAATAATTTTTTTTTTTTAAAAAAAAAAGTTAGGCGGGCCGGCGGGCTAGCCCGCCAACCCGCCTTGGCGGGCTCGGGCTGGCAAAATGCCAGCCCGCCAAAGTGCGGGCTACTTCAGCCCGCACTGCTTTTGGCCCGCACCGCTGCGGGCTGGCCCGTATCCGCACCGCCAGCCCGCATTCCCAGCTCTACCCATGCAGCACACACCGTCAGTGAAGGACAAGGGGTTCTAATGCACCCCTCTCAAATGTTCCTTGAAATGCCCCAGCTTCCCAAATGTTTTTTTCTCCTGTCTTGTCATCATTATTATCGTCATTAGATTCTACATAAATGAATAGAATTTTGATGTTTTATGGACAAAAAATAGTGCAGTTTTGAATTTTTTATGTTACTTTCATACAGACGCTGACGGGAGAAGTTCCACCTCAGGAAAGCACATCAGATAGGAGCACTGAGCAAAATAACGAACGAGCAGAGGAAGATACTCCGTCTTTGCCGGCTGTAGGTGATCAAATCCAATATTGGTGTTTATTTGGCTTGTTACATACATGTTTCAGTCGCGTGTTAATGGTTTCCATTTTTCGCAGGAATCCCAGGACCAAGATCAGGAATCCCGGGACCAAGAGCGTGTTCCATCAGGAGACAACGACGTCACAATCCAAATCGGGGAGACGCAGCCTGTGCGTGAATTAAGGTAATCCAATCCATATCATACACTGTCTATGCTCAATATTAGGATCATGGCAATTATAATTGATCGTAATAGAACTTGCATGGATCATCAAAGAAAGCCAAAGGAAACCCTATCACTACAAGCTAGCTGTTACTCTAACAGAAACTCTGATCAGATAGATGCAGTACTCAAGACAGACCCTAAAGCTATTTCCTACCACAAGATTGTTTTGGATTGAAAGAAAATAATACGGGGAGTGAATTTGATGATGTTATAAATTATTAATAATATAAAAGAAGAAGAGTTTTTTTGGAGCTATCTCTTCTGTTCTCTACTGTGATTTCATTAAACTGAGGGTATGTTTTACAAGAATTTATACATTTTATTTATGACTCGTTATTAGTAGGAGTAGTTTGAGTAAAAGAAAACTAAAGTAACTGGAATAAGCATAGTACTGTTTGTTTGTTGCGCAGGCGTAGAATGAGAATTCCAAACATGTCAAGCCCCGTTAGACGCACCCTTGGGGAGTTGCGGCGCCGGGTGGCCCCCCGCTCTTTTAATTTCCGTTTTTTTTTTTTGAATAATGCCGGGTTTTTGTCTGATTTTCCCAGACGCTAAGGGAGCCTCCAGGGACCCACTTTGATGTTGACACTTGACACTTCTTAAGAGTTGGCATGTAACCGAACACTATGCTTTTTTCTGAGTCGTGTCACCTATGTAAACATTGAGTCGTGTGATTCACCTCACGTGCTTTTCTCTCCCTGCTGCTTTCCAACTGCACATGCATTGTTTACATGTTGCTCCCATTATTATTAATGTTAATGATATTCACAATATTTGTTGCTGCCAGGGGGAAAAAAAAATTATTCTGACCCATAGAATGGCAATACCCATTTTTATGCATTGACAACGGTATTTTCCAATAATTATTTGATGATTAAGTTTTGGTAAATGATTTTCTGACTAAAGCGTGCAGCACAAATATTGACCTTTTATAATATACTGAGGTCTTGTAATAATTTTGTTTATATGTCACAATTTTAAGATAAGATCTTCTCCAAAAATGGAGCGCCGAAGGGCAAATAAATAATCTTAAATAATTATTTCTCATCAAGTTATAGAGCAACAAATTCTCCCATTCAACTTTTGTAATGATCATTAGATTTTAATCCTCCTTCCCCCCCCCCATTCAATGTGATTTTTTAATGTATGTCAAATTCTGATTTTTTTATTTAATTAGAACAATTTATGCTTCAAGTTTTAATATCTTTAATAAAATACTATATCATCATTTTGTATTTTTACTTCATTTTTATACAAATATTAAACAAAACTTCAGTAAAGATAGTTTATTTTTTGTACCCAAACATGAACATCCAATGATACAAACCAAAGCAAAGAGTTCATTCATTCTTCATTATTTTGGACATCACACCTTAGGTTTTGACGAAGAGAATTTATATTCTGTAAAGAATTTCTAAGAGTATTTGAGTAAAAACCAAACCATATTTTTAAAAGTGATTTTATGAGATATTAAGTAAATATGTGAGAAAAGTTTTATCTCAAACTGTATAAAAATATATATTTTTTTTAAAAACCCTTTTAGGGTAATACAAAAACCCCTTTTATGTATGATAAAGTAAGATTTACATTCAAATTGAAATAGTGGCGTGAATCCTCTCAATCAAATCTTCACTGGAATAAAATAGTGAATCTTCAAAATGAAAGCTTTCCGCTGGACGCACTCCACCCATAGCTCAGACTCTCATCTTCATCTTCAAATGAAGAACCAGAAACTCACTCCAATTTCGAAATTTTGCAAGCAGTGCAGGTTGATCAACATTCCTCTACTTTCATGTTACGAGAAGCTTCTTCATCTAACTGCTTACAAATTTACAATTACAAATGTCGATGAACCAAATAAATCAGTATTTACCCTTTCATGCATTGGTGATCTCCTTGTTTATCTATTACTCATTTTAATGATAGGGTGCCTCATCTTGTGGGGCAAGAGAATTCGAGTTTTAGAGAAATTCCAAGGCCCTGTGGCAGCTCTAATGTTTGATGTGATCTGTTTGATCTCCTTGGTGAATGACAAACTTGTGCCTGCAAAATCAGAAGCATTGAGCATTATCTCATATGGTTCATTTGCCTTGATGTCGCTGTCCATGTCAAGGAATTTTGTGCTTGGATTCAAAACTAGCTAGCTTCTCCACTTTTTTGCTGTCCTTGTTTGCCACAGAACTTTTCAAAATCAATTGGATCCTCTTACCCATCGCGTTACTTTTCTGCTCGCTCATCATTATTCTTCACCACCACTACTTAGAATCCCCAATGTACAGTTTGGTTCCATCACTCTAAATGGCTATCTTCACCCCAAGCAGTGATAGAAATTGGCGATGAGGATGCCTTAATTGGGTTTTGCAGCAAAATATTCAAGCAATTGATCCCTGACGTGAAACGTCAATTGTTACCTGACTGACATGTGTTTTATCCTTGTAGATTTTGGCTTTTGCAGAGCCAAGATTCCCCAGAGATGGGAAAAGTTTCGGGACAAAGCCTATCTAGGAACAATGTAACCAGCAAAACAACCAAGAGAAATCTTCTTAAGCTGTAACTGACAAAACTGGAATATAAGGATTCAGTTTCATCACTCTAACTTCCTGGCTGGAGCTGCAACCATAGCAGCAGGAAGATTAGTGGCTCATCAGGGTGTCCTTGAGGTACTAATAACATAATATATGACACAGCATAATCCCTTTCATCCTATTCCTTTAAACCTTATGGTACTTTCCCTAGAACAGATTCACTTATAAGTGTTGTTATTATATTAAAACATTTCAGGGTATTTGTCCTTATGGTGGACGCTACCTCCCTGCAGAAAAGAAGTTCAGAGATGTCATTAGCTTTCGTGAGGAGCACCATGTGGACCTCTCCAGTCTCAAAAAATTAAGGATTTATGATATATTAATTCATTAAACTAATAATTAACATATTAGATTAATAAGGATTATGTGACACCTGACATGAATCAAAAATTTAATTTTTTTATTGATTTATTTTGGTGTAATGATTGTGCTTTTATTTTGTTGTTGTGATATACTCCTCCGGTCCTTAATATAGGACCCAATTGTTGAGTTGGTTTTAGTCTTAAATATAAGATCCATTTCTCATATTTATCAATTTTCTCTTAATTACCCTTATAGATACTCCCTCAACCATAATCAAGTAAAAGAGGGAGAGGAGGTACATTAAGAAAGATGATTATAGTGTTTTAGGAAAAATATGTCACATTTCTTATAATTAACTAACTTACCTAACTTCCTTAATCTAATCAAATTAGTTAAATGGGTCTTATATTAAGGATTAGAGGAGTGTGTGTTGTGTGTGTGTCTGTGTGTGTCTGTGTCTGTGTGTGTCTCTGTGTGTGTCTCTGTGTGTGTGTGTGTGTGTGTGAGAGAGAGAGAGAGAGAGAGAGAGAGAGAGAGAGAGAGAGAGAGAGAGAGAGAGAGAGAGAGAGAGAGAGAGAGAGAGATACTCCCAGTATAGGCTCTATGGGTTGCATGTGGGATTGATCAGCCCCGAAATCTTGTAGAACGTTTGCGGCTTTAGAGGGGCTGGGCAGTTAACTATGGGTCCGTCAGGATTAGTGTGAAAAAATAATTTATTTTGAATATGACTTTTAGAAAAATGAGATTGAATAAAAGTTAGATTGGATAGTGTGATTTGTGTTTAGATTGATTTTTACAAAAGTTAGTTTGTAAAGTAAAAAAGTCGTTTAGATTATGATTGAATAAGTAAGTTTAGTTTGCATAATGACACTTTTATTAAATAATGAAAAATAATTAAACATATGAATTTACAAAATATAATAATTTTAAATTATGATAATATGAAAAATCTATATTTAATTAATAAAATATATTTAAATTAGAAATAAAATTTTTTGAACCAAATAATACTACATAATTAATTAGATGATATACTCTGTATAATTTATATAAATATAGAATAAAAATAATATTAAAAATTAAAAATATTATAACAATTGTTAAAAATTATTTTAGAATATTAAAAATAAATAACTAAAAACTAATCAAAAATTACAAGGAATATAGAGAGAAGCATAAGAATAACATATATATATATATATCTATATATAAGGACAAAAATCTCTTTTAATTCCAAAAAGCTATTTTTGCATAAGTCATAGTAAGTTGTAGGTGTTTTTACAATCATACTTAAAAAAAACAGCTTTTGACCCTTATGTCAGATTGGTCAAAAACTGTGACAAACAGCTCCTAAATTTGCAAACTGACTTATCACACTTATAAGCTACTTTTTTTCCCTCCAAAACACCACACCAAACAGATTGTATGTCTACTTGTCTAGTGTAGTTGGATCGAGCAAAAATAGAGAAGGCCCTCATTGGAAAAATTAGAATGCGGCCTAACTCGTTGAGGAGTTTAGAGATTGTTTGACATCACGATTGAAATTATTTTTGTGTAATTCGAGACAAAACTTTTTTCACATACTTACATCATATTTCGCAAATCATGATTAAAAAGCTGCTTATAAGCTACTCCAAATGAGTTCTAATCCGCATGAAACCTCTCCATTAAGCAACTTCTCCATTTAGATAAAACGGTCTCGTTTATCCATTTAAATAAAACACTGCGTTCAACAACCGGGCACTTGAGTAGAGCAGTAATGAAACAACAATGATTTTAGCACTTGTTCTGTGTAGGGGAAAAGCACTAATAAATTAGTCATTATAGGTTAGGTGAAAATTCCTTTCATGTTCTGTGTAATAGATTCAAAAACATGACAAAACCTTTAGGACATAATCATTCCCTTTGGTGGCCAGGAGTAGTTCTACTCCCCACTATTTAGCAGCTTTTGTATCAGCAATATAGCGAGCACTAAAAGATGCAACCTCATGTGGCAAATAAGATGTGCCCTCTTTGATCACCAACTAATGGTAGACACTTCAATTTGTGAAACACCCAACCACTT